GAACAGCAATGTGATATTAGGGGAGTTCCAGATTTTCTGGCACTGGAGAACACCAATATATTGTTGTCACAGCACCTTAAATATCGATCTTGGAGTTCTCCACTCTTTGAAGAGCTTTCTCTATTGTTGATGGTGAGTATTCCCCTCTGTGGTCTTGAAGGGGAAATATCCAATGGCAGAAAGGGTTTGGCCTTGTGGCACCAGAGAGTTGATACAATTGAACATGTTATTTTTTACTTCTGGTTTTATCAAGAAATGCAGACCAAGTATATTTCTCATCTGTTTGGAACATGGCCAGGCAGATCTGATCCTGGGTTGCCAGGAAGTTTCTTATAGGCACCAATGCCCACCTAACTGTTTGTTGTGCTAGGTTGCAAGATCCACAGAGATATTGTATGTAATTTTTTAAAAATTTAACCAGAAACTATAACAGGTAATTTTAATCAATTTGATATCATTTATCATTATTTTGCCTTTTAATAGTTGGAATATTTTAGCCCATGGTCCTTTTTGTAATTTGTTTATTAAGAACAAGTTGGTCACTGACCGTAATAAATAAATTGCTGTTGAAAGAGAAAAATTCTACATAAAGGGAATTCAGGAATGAAAGAAGGCATTTAGGACTTCTTCCGATGAGTTGTGAACTGGCTCTGACATCTTCAGATTTGAACTATATTTCTCTCTATAAATTAGCCAGTTAATGGACATAACAAAGGCTACATATTAATGTGACATCAAGGGAAATGCTACAAGGCAATGCTGAGTTACTGAGTAAGATTGTTATGATTCTTTAACACATCTCTGCTTTCAATCATCTCTCTCCTTTTCTTCTCATTCACACCCTGCCTAATTCTATTCAGTGACTAACTCTGGAGCCTAATTCCTCTCCCAGTCCCTCTCCTATCTACCCACTCTCCCTTTTCCAGTTCCTCCTTCAAACTGATTTTCTCCAGCTGCCACTGGAGAACATTTTCTCCACCCAGCAATCCATTCTGTCTCAGCTGTCAAACATTCCTCTACTCATTCTGTTGCAATGAATTCTTAAACTTCTAAATTCTGTGTGCATTTCTTATTAATCTTATTTCTTTCTTTTTCCATTGAGATTCACATTTTCAATTTTCCCTGAAATGTTGCAGACATTTCCATGAGAGTTGCAGACAAAACTTTCTCAAAATATGATGACTTTCTGTTGTCAAAAACATTTTCAGTTTAGCATGTTGTTAAGGGAGTCCTATTTTCAGTCTCCAAAATCCCTGAAATTGCTGCTGTTAAGAGCCAATCCTTAACAGATATATTTGCAATACAGTCCTATGAATGCAAGACATAGACAGTTAGAGAATCACTCTGACCTCACTCTGAACTGGTGATACACACTCAGATACCTCTTTCCATTCACAGAAAGAATTGCACCAGTTGCTTCTCCAAGCTCATAAGAGTGTCCTCAGAAAAGGGCTTTGGAGCATTTCAAGGGGTGGGGACAGGAAGACTGATGCCATTAGGTTATGACATACCCTGGCAGTGGCAAAGCTTCCTTCTCTCCCACACCAAAACATCATGCTTAGACTGACAAAAGTCATCTAAGTGCTTTTAGGAAGGAATGCTGAGGGGGTGAACATTCCACATTTACATTACTTCTGCCTTCCATAGGAAGTCTATGATGATTCCTGAGTTTAGAGGGTTACAGGTATCACCATAGCATTATTCCATAAGGCAATACAGTTATGTATGGTATCCTATGCGGTGGTTAGTTAACTGTGTTATCCTGTGCTATGGTTAGCTTCACCTTAGCAGTTGCCATTTCCTGGCATTTTGGAGCTGTACCGTATTTTATATTCATTGTGAACCAGTTAGAATTGCAGGATATTAAGGAAAATAAAAGCAGCATAACTAAATTAAGGTAGTAGCTCTTTCTTTCCAGTTCACAGGCCATAGAAACAAACAAGTCAGGCACAAAAACCCAAGCCAAAATTATACAATTTAACTAGATTAGTAACAAAAACATAAAAGAATCAAACTCAGAATTACAAAAGTAATGCCAAAACTTCCCCCCACCAACCCTCCCAATGCCCAAACCAGCACAGCTGGCTGAAAAGGCATGGCCAGCATGGCTTTGTCTCTACCCCACAGGAGCAGCAGCCACTGATGTTGCAGTTGGCAGAAACTGTGCCACTCTGCAGAGGGTGCAGATGTAGGCTCAAATGGGCCCCAAGCAGGCATCAAATGGGCAGCAAATGGGTGGTGCCCTTTGGCCACTGCCTGCAAGAAAAGGGCCCAGTCTCCAAGGTTCCACTCAAGAGGAGGTGCTGGTGTGGCTTGGCTCCCTGGCTGCTGTCTCCCTCTCCCTCCCCACAAAAAAGGAAAGAAAAAGAGAATAATTCCCAGTTTTAAAGGGTAAAAACTCTTCCTAAAACCTACAGACCACCAAAATGCAGTATATAGTGCATTTCATAAGTATATCTAGTCCGTTTAGAGTAGGTACCTACATCAGGGATCCCCATTCCTCCAAGTGCACTATATTTGAAAGAGTCTCCCTGACATTCTGTGTACCATTGAGGGAGGAGGCTGGGAGGGCCTGCCTTGGAAAGAAAGAGACAGAAAAATCTTCTACTGAACTAGTTGCATGAATCCAGCCTTACAATTATATACTGGTTATCTACAAATGGTATACAAATTTCACTGCTTGATCTTGGACAGCAGTCATAAAGAAAAAAATGTTAACTGATTCATTACTTAGCACCCTTAGGGCTAAAATTTAATTTGACAAAACCAGAGGCTACAATTAATTCTAGCACTGCAGCTCAAACTAGATATAATTGGAGCAGCTATGTATTTCTGTTTTCATATCCACCAATCCACATATGTATTTGTGTGTGTGACTTTAACAATAAAAGAAGCAAGGAGAGAGCATGAGCCTTCCAGTGCTTCACTCTTGCCTATATATTCCTCCAGTCATTTTTCTCTGTGCCTACTTCATTTTGAATATTGGAACAAGAAAGCGAAAAGGAGATAAGCTATAGGAGTGGAAAGTTATTTTGCATGCTCCTTTTATTGTTCAAACCTCTCACCCACTCACACAAACTTTACAAGTGAATGAGGCAGACACATTGATAGCCCTATCATGTTTAGTATGGCTGATTTAGACATTTCAGTGTTCTTGGGTAATGCCGAGGTGAGATTCATACCTCTGCATCCTGACATCTACAAGCCGCATGATCCAGTGCAACTGCTCGATCTAGTTTGACTGTTCGTAAAACTACAAAGTTGGAGAATTGCAGGCATTCTATTGAGATTGTCTCTGACTTCTCCCATCCTGAAAAAGATTTAGATGGTTGATTGCCACTGTTTTGCCCCAACTCATGAAGATAAAGGCTACCGCCCTGCCAGGCTACACTGTATCATGGTGGACCATTACTCCTCTCATTCGCACCCTCCTGGAAAGCCTCTGTAATACTGGCTCCAGGGTTGGTCTTCTCACCTCAGAGCTACAGCCAATGCAGGTCTTTCTGTGCTGGCTGCAAGAGAGGCAGGAAGGCCTTCCAAATTCGGAGTCCCAGCTCTGACATCAAAGCATGTTTCCTATGGCTGGCCAAACTACCAACCATAGGATTCCACCATAATTGATTTTACTAACATTAATTTACAGAAGTCAAAGCTTACAGAAGTCCATTCTTGCATATCCAAATGTGAAATGTGTCTGAAAGTGTAGTGTGACTATTGTAATGCACACTTTTCAAACTGCTTTGTTAGCTTGTTTTAAAATCCTAATAAATGTATTTTGTTACCTTTGCCCTATCATTTCTTTGTTCTATAGTAATGACTACAAATTTATAAAATTGTAAGAGCTTTATAATCAGTTCTAAATAATGTTATGATGCAGCAGAAACTAATATATCAAAATGTTTGTTTAAATGCCCTCAGAATTTATATAATGGTTTTTAAGTCAAAAGATCTTTATTTAGATGCTTTGACAGTTAGGTATTTACTGGAAAATTACCATTCTCAGTTTACTAATTTTAAAAGGAATCTACATAAGGCTGTCATCATAAACTTGACTTGCTCTATTTTCTTCATGCTCCTTCCTTCTTTCTTCAGATGACAGAAAGCCAGAATTTTTAGAAGGAATAGAACAGTAGTATAAGCTTAAATAACCTTCTATCATTTTTAAGTAGTTCTGGTGCATGCAATGGTGTATCTAACACCTAAACAAATAGCCATGCTTCTACATTTTTCTACTACTTTTTGCCCATTCATTTTTAGCCAATTTTCAAACTTATGACTTTTCACCTTTTTTAAAAAATTGAAATATTTGGACAATAGTGCTCCATCTGTTTGTTTAAAGCATTTTTATCCCAGTGCTCAGTAAAAATGGACCCTAGAGTGGCTTACATGCAATCAATAGAAACAGGAAAACGTTGAAATGAAAAATTGTGTTAGCACAAATTAAAAATAAATTTGAAATACATTGGCTTTGTCATTCACACCATTTTAGCACTGTGTTTATTTCCTTTGATCTATTAATTCATTTGTGTTTTATGTTCTTTTATATGTTTAAGAGTCTTTTTCTATAATCTTCTGAACTCTGAGAATTACCAAAACCCATGAAGGTAGAAGCAGCACAAAAATGAAGGTTGCCTGCATACTCCTCTCATTCTACAAACTGCTAGACACCAATTTCAGCTGTTTAGCTGTGGCAATTTGGAGAGGAAGGGAAGGAGGCTGAGGAATCACCAGGATACTTGTATCTTAGTGCCACTGGTCTTCTCCTCTCCCCTGGGAACACTCAACTTTTGCAACCCCAGAGAAACAGTTGGTGTCAGTCTTTCTATGCCAACTATGAGTGGAGAGGGATGCTTCAAGCACAAATCCCCAGCTCTGAGGACTGAAAAATTTTCCTGCCTCAGAGTTGGAAATATGAATGGACTTCTAGATACTACTGTGGCAAAGTGATGTCATGTCTATAATGTGTGTGTGTATAATCTCTCTCTTTTCCCCCCCTCAAGATTTAAATAAAGTCCCTGGAAACTTACCTCCAGATATAGTTAAGCTCGATCTTGCTAACAATAAAATCAAGCACCTACGACCCAAGGAGTTTGAGGACATTAATGAACTGAAGGTATTAAACCTCAGTAGTAATGGAATAGTTCACATAGACCCAGGTAAGCAAACTTTATAATAATAAAGGCCATAATATGTTCTAAAATTGTAAGAGTTTTTCATACTAGTTTTTGCAAAATGTGCCCTATTTCCTTAAATAGCAGCTTTTAAAACTAATTTGTAAGCTACAAATATTGTGTACCTGTCAACTGCACTGTTTTCCTATAGACCAATTCTAACATTTGGGGAGCAGAACTAGGCATGAATCAAATTATTTTAACATTCATTCTGGTTCTGGTACATAGGACCCACAATAGCATTCAGAGCAGTCTGATTTGCCACTGGCTTTATCCTGCAGATCAGCACTGTTATACAAATTCCACATGCCCCAGGATCCACAGAATTATGTCAAAATAGTACAGGGCATGGGCAAGCCTTTGAATATACCTAAACTAGCTGTCTGGACCCAACCATTATGTTTAGAACCAGGCTGGCAACACTATTTTTATTTAATATTAAAATTATACTAAAAATAAAAACTATATTAAATCATGATGATTCTTCCATAACTGGGGTGGGAAGAAAATATACCTCCAGATATAGAGTTCAATTTCCTAACCCTGACCATTGGCCAGACTGGCAGAATATACTGGGAGCTGAAGTCCAAAACATGATATTTACCTACTGCTATCCCCATTTTATTAAATCTAAGGTTGCTAGAATAACTTTTGGGTTTCCATTTTTATCAAGCTCATATTCCTTATCATAAGGTGTTCAGTTTAAAAACAAATACATATTATGTACATTTCTAAAGAACTATGACACTGAACTATCAAGTTTCTTTTTTGTTCTCCCTATTTACTTTATTTACTTAACAACAGGCTAGAGAAAGCCTTCATTGGGGCATATTAGAGCATAGGTTTGCTAAACAGATTATGTATGTTCATGATATTTTTCAAAATAATTGCCTATTTTAGTGTCAAAGTTAAGTGCGCTCACACAAAGTCACATTTGGATAATCAATATCTCAGCTTAATCAACAAAGACACAAATTAGACTACAGTCATTCACCCAATTGCTTTACTCCTTTCCTTTGCCCATGTCAAAAACAAATCAAGAAGCCATTCATTAACCATTATTTCCACTTGGAAGTTAAACTTGGAAGTGATTAGCTTCAAAACAAGTCATGATATTAAACCAAACTTTTGCAATGTAATGGATCTATATCATATTTAATCTTCCTTGTCTGCAGCCACTTTCAATTTTCCCTAGAATTGTCTTCTCCAGTGAGCTCTGCCTTCTCATGATGTGCTTGAAATACAACAGTTTCAGTGTCATCATTTTTGCTTCCAGGAAAAGCTCTGGCTTGATTTGATCTACGTCTCACTTGTTTGTCTTTCTGTCATTCAAGGATATTTGCAAAGCAGTTTCCTGTTAGCTTTCTTCACTGTCCAGCTTTAATATAGTAGTATGGATGATTTTGGCCTTGCTTTCCAATGATGAAACATCCTTATACTTGTTAATCTGTTAGTTCTTTCATTGCTGCCCTTCCAAGTCTCAGTCTACTTCTCATTTCTTGGCTGCAGTCTCTCTCTGAATAGATTGAACCAAGATACGCAAAATCTTTCACACTTTCTTCATTGTTAGCATTAAATTTGTGTAATTATTCTGTAGTCATAATTTGTTTTCTTAATGTTTAGCTGCAGTCCTGCTTTTCCACTCTGTTCTTTCAGCAAGAGTAATTTAAATTCATTTTTGCTTTGTGCCAGTAATAAGGTATCACTTGCAAAATTTAAATTTCCACCAATTTTCATTCCTTCTCTGATCCTAATCCAGCTTTCCTTATTATGTATCTGTGTACAGACTTAACAGATAGAGAGATAAAATACAGCCTTGTCTGATACATTTGCCTAAAACAGGGGTCGGCAACCTTTAACACTCAAAGAGCCATTTGAACCCATTTCCCACACAAAAGAAAACATCGGGAGCCACAAAACCCTTTTGACATCTAAAATGAAGCTAACACTGCATATATCGTTTTTTACCTTAATGCTATGTATATTTTCATTATGATTTAGCTGCAGCTCTTGTTCAGTCACTCAAAATTGTTATTTTTAATCTTACATTATAAACTATAGTAGGACTCCTTTCATATATTTTGAATAGAATAGCTTCCTGAAGAGTCAAAGTCAGTGCTAAAGGGCTGCATGCATTAAACAGCAAACCCCATAAGTTTGTCAGCAGTAAAAGCAAATGAATCTACCCACATATCATTAAACGTTTGGTTTTCTTCAGAAACTTTTCTTCGATTTATCCATGGTTGGC